GAAGGAGCTACAACATGCCCCCCCCCCAATGTGGGGGGGGAGACCCTTGTTCATGTATTAAAAAATGATAGATGGGGCATGAGGTGTGGGAAAACAAACCATCATCATCCGCAGAGAGAAAGGAAGTGACAAAACATGCAGAACTTTAGTTGTTTGCACGTGATGTCACAGGGCAACTACAAAAATGGTGGGGAAATCATGTTTTGTTTAATGTATTTACATAAGGATGTGTCTTTCTTGGTGATCTACCAGAGAGAGGAATATTTCATGTCTTTAGCTTGACACCTGCATTCCATTCTGACTGAAAAAAGAGGCAATTAATAGTAAATATTTGTTGTCACCCGCCAGCGCCCAATGGAGCTGGCAGCAGATATGGACAGTGAGGAGGTTGGAGAGGAACATGGGCCAATCCTGGAGTCTGGGGAAGGCTCTGATGAAGGCTCTATGTCTGAGGCAGAGAAGGGGTCAGAGCCGTATGCCGGCTATCAACTGCCTTCAGAGGCAGACATCAGTGAGGCAGACAAACAGCTGGAGCCTGTTCCCAGTGTGTGCATATGCAGAGTTGCCAGATGAAGGGAACAACTAAAGAACAGGGGTGGACTTGGGAGTAAGGACACATGATGAATGGCCCCTCCCAGAGGAAATAAAAAAGAAATGAAAGGGAAGTGGAATTTGCAGGACACAATTAGTTTGCTAATTAGTTTGGGACTCTCCGAGACTCCTTGCCAAGTTCTACAGATATTGGCCTGTCAGCTCTCCAAACCAGATAAGGAGGATCATAAATCCCCCTTTGAAAGACTTTGCCGGCTGTGAATGAGCAAAATTCACAGTAAATTAATAAAAGGGTTTTTTGCCGGGGCAAGGAGTTTGTTTCATGCTCTTGGGAAGCCTCGGTCAGAACAATAGTATGCTTCTTCAGCAACCTTTAAAATCTTTTTTGGCCATCTCCTTACTTCTACTAATATGTAAATGCAGGTCTTCTGATTGGACAGACTGCTCACAACAGCCTCCGATATTTCTCATAATCAGACTGGGAAATAAGGCATTCAGTAGTGTTAAGGTACAAAAGCCAGATTTGTAGGGGAAATNCTAACCCTAAACCTAACTGTTAACGTAACGAAAAACCTAACGCTAACCCTTAACCTAACGCTAAACCTAACCCTTAACCTAACCCTTACCTTTATGTGAATCGGCTTGCTTTAATTTTAATTTTATTTCAATTTTTAATTTTTTTGTCGCGCTGTGATGATGTCACATGCGCGCTTTCGTCGAGCGCGATTTTGTCCTCCGCGCTTTTGACGGGTCACGGGGATTCAAACCGCCGAACTGCTGACCTTTCTGATTGACAAGCTCAGCGTCTTAGCCACTGAGCCACTGGGTCCCTTCAAATTACCTAGAAAATGGTGATTTGATGTGGAGTTAATCTCATAGATAACTACAGGTAGAGCTAAGTGTTGAGCTGAGAGACTTTTATTGCTTAAATCAGAATACAATTTGAAGAATGGCAGATTTCACTAGAGCAGTAATGCCAACTGCATTTACAGTAGGTAATATTTTTTGCTATACATCTAAATATAGCACAGTTAAAAACACAGAGGTTAAAAATAGAAGTTACTCCTAGCTCAAAAGTTCACAACCTCAAAGAGTGGGTTATGTGAGAAGAGGCATTGGGTGACTCTCTGAAGTTAGATGTTTGGAAGTGCGGTGAATGAAGAGGGCAAAGGAAAGTCCTTTCCACCACATCATGTCATCCAGTGCAAGTTATTTGCTTTTTTTACAATTTACGTTTTGGACGGTTGAAAGTATGCTATTCTCTTGACTGTATCCTACAATTCTGAAGTGCTATCTCTGTGATTCAGGGTGGATACAGATGATCAGAATAAATAGGAGCCAGTAGTTTAAGATCAAGCTGAATACTTCAATGAGCAGAACTGGAATCTATCATTCCACGGAAGTGCAATAGATGAGAACTGAATTACCCCTTTCCTACAGAAGACTTTGCATACTACCTACAATTTTTTATACAAAGATAACTGGAAAATAACTGCTATGTCTAAATAGATCACACAACAAATTATGCAAATTTAACTGTCCTTTGAACCAGTGGTGAAATTCAATTTTGTTTTACTATCAGTTCTGTGGGCATTGCTTGGTGGACATGGCAGGGGAAGGATACTGCAAAATCTCCATTTGGTCCCCACTCCAGGGGAAGGATACTGCAAAATCCCCATTCAGCTGAGACTTGGGAGGCAGATAATAGATGGGGCGGGGCCAGACAGAATTGGTATTTGCTGGTTCTCCAAACTACTCAAAATTTCTGCTACCGGTTCTCCAGAACCTATCTGAACCTGATGAATTTCACCCCTGCTTTGAACAAACATTATGAAATGAACAGCTGTTTGAACATAAGAAAACACAACCTATGATAACGTTTAAAAATACATGTTGTTTTATCAGTAGATTGTGGAAAAGCAACAATCATACAGAATGATCATTCCTATAGCACGGGAAGTTAGAAGAAGACCTTACATTTTTCTGATGTCATTAATTGGATGTTAGAAATTCAATAATGATGGCATGATTCTTTGATTTAGCTGTTCTGAATTTAGTTCATGAGGAAATATATGACCTTCACCTATTCTATTGTATTTATTTTTGACATTCTCTCTCCCCCTCCCTCCCCTTCCCCCTAATCTGTTTACAACCCAAGAAACTAGGGACAGTCTCTTCTAAGCCTCATCACCCACATTCTTTCTGTGAGCTCAGCTGACTTTTGTCTGACCACTTCTTTGGTTGCGCCTCTTTGCCATCTCCCAAGGTTATTCTCACATATCTTTACACAGCTTCAACTTTTGTTTGGTCTGAGAGAATAATTGGTTTTTGAGTACCCTGGTTATAAAAAAATGTTCATGCATAAGGTTGAACCCAAGTTTATTAGTACATTAGCAAACTGCTAGGTTGGCAGAAGCTGGGACAAGTAACAGGAGCTCACTCCGTTACTCAGCACTAGTGATTCGAACCGCTGAACTGCCAAACTTTTTGATCAACAAGCTGAGCATCTTAGCCACTGAGCATCCCTATTATAGAGAGTACCAGCTTTCTATACGAGTACATTATTAATACAGTTAGTCGCAGTCAGCCAGATGTTCAAAGTTGATTTGGCATTTTTGTTCACTTATCAAGTCCTTCACAAGGACTTGGGATAGGCAGATGTTGTTGTTTACAATATTAAATGTATCATTGCAGGATGTATTTGTGACAGATAAGCAACTTTTCTTCCAGTACTGTAGTCCTGCAGCTGCTGGCCCTGGTTGCTCAGTCCCCAGTCCTGAAACCTGTAGCCTACTTGTCACTGGACGTCCAGGAACTCCAACACCTAGTGCAATCCTTATCAACATGGGCAACCACTGATCTGATATGGTTTTCAGTAAGTTACATCTCACCATATTGTTTAAGGAAGAAACATTCTTTGTTTGTCCTCTGTCCAGTATGGCTAAAACTGGCATAGTTCTCGTCTTTCTCATAGCACACAATCTCCACAATGAACTCAAGATAGTTCTTAATTGGAAGATTACTCTTATGGTTCATCACAAAGTCAGACAGATCTTTAGACTGGATTTGGAATTTTTATCCACTTATTTTCTTCCCAAGACCTGAGATAGGTAGATGCTATTGTTTGATAGTATTAAAAGTGTCTTGGAAGGATGAAAGGTGTCCCCGAGTAAAGCTGCCTTTTGCAATTAACTGATGGTGATTATGTCAATGCCAATGGTATTTAGGTGATGGTGTGGATCATTTGGGATTCCACCAGAGACACCTATCATTATTGATACATTTTTTAATTTCTTTCGCCATAGTTGCTCTGTTTGCAGGGTTCATCAAACAGCCAGCTACATGTTGAGACTGGCTTGGCATTATTATTTCACTGTATTTATTATTAGTTATTATTCTTTTTATCCTGTTTATTATAGTAAATACTTTAACTTGAAAAAATGCCCAAATTCTACACCTTACATCTTAAAACAGATACTTCTAAACACAATTTCTTCTGAAAGAACACCTTTTCTGTGCTTTTTCTGAAGCAAAAAAACAGCACCAAAACATTTGTAGTAGTAATAACTCAGGAAACAAGGTACATTTTGTCTGACTAGTCTGAACATGCTTTACAGTGACATGGAACAAGATTCTCCAACAACCAGATGAGTCTGGGAAGGTTCTCCAGGTGACACCTGACACGTTCCTGTTGGTTGTCCCTGTCCTCTGGCCTTTGGATCCAAGGAAGCTTGTCCAAATATATCAGACCACATTTCCCATCAACCCAGCCAACCTGTCATGTTGGCTATACATACAGTATGTGGTGGTGCTGGGTTGGGAAAACTGCCTCCAACCAGATCGTAGAGCAGATGTTCTGCATTAAACACAAACATTCTGTGTAAACACTTGGCCTGGGAACATAAAAAACAAGTCAGTAAGAAACCATCAACCACAACGATGGGTTTCGCTTCTGGGGGGAAAGTCTAATTTTATTTTAGCACACTTTAGCAACATTATCCCCAGAGACCAAAGCAAGGAGGCCGTTTTCCTGACCACAGGAAGACCCAAGGGGGAGAGTCACTCGGCCACACCTCCAAGCCCTGGTTCTCCCTTCCTTCAGAAGTTGCTTTGACTTGCCCTCCGTGTGCCCAACAGCCGGGTCTGTTCACTTCACACGCGCCAAAATCTCTGCCTCATCCCCACACCCAGTTCCACCGGTTGAGCGGCTCTCTCCAAACCGCGGGGAACTTTCTGCCTTTCTGGCAGAGGACGGGCGTTTTGCTTTCGTGCATTTTGAGTTGCCTTTCCCCACGCCTTGGCACCTCGCCCCCATATTGTCTTCCCCGCCTTCGGTTCCCCCCTCTACCTTTTCTTGACCCTCCAGCCCAACCTGACTCCTCCCTTCCCTCCCTCCCTCCCTGCCTCCCTCTCCCTCTCCCTCCCTCCCTCTCTCTCTCTCTCTCTCTCTCTCTCTCTCTCCCCTCTCTCTTTCTCCCAGTTGCTTTCCTGCGTCTGTGGTGAGCCACAGCGGGGCCCCATCCTGACAGCGAGTGACAAGCCACGAGATTTTTGCCCTCCGTCTCCGAACTTTTCTAATGTTTAACTTGGCGCTGCTGACGACCTAGCGTATCCGGGCAGGGAGGGAAGGAGGGAGGGAGAGCCAGAGGAAAAAGCGCCCGCCGCTGCTGTTTCTTCCTCTTTTTACACACCGATTTCCCTGGAAGCCAAAGAACCGGCAGGAACTTTCCGCAATGAAGGTCAGTAAGTTGGTTTTGCCCCTCACGTCTAGCTCAGCAGCGGCTGTTCACGCGCGGAAAACTGCGGCGAAAGTCTTAGGTGCTTCCTTGCGCGAAGGCAAAGGAAGGCGACTCGGTGGCGCTCGCCTCTCAGCTCGAGGTGTCCCGTGGCTTTGGGGGGAAAACTTCGCTGCTTTCTGGGTTGTTGCACGATTTAAGGCGCCCCCACGATTCAAACGTTTAGCCTGCTGCACACGTGGCGGTGTCGCTTCTGAAGAGGACGGTTTTGCTGTCAGCCCGTGGAACATTGCACTGCTGAACAACGGATAGCCTCTCTTCCCTTCAACAGAGCCTCCCAGCTGTATCTTTACAAAGGCAACCAAACGTCAATCAGTAGCAAAGTTCTTAACGGGGGGGGGGGTAAATTCCCGTGGCCCAAATCGATTTTGACAAACAGATTAAAAAACGCTGGAGTGCTTTTCTCTTGCTTTGAGACTAAAAACAAGTTTGGAGTTCAATTTTGTGCCCAACTTTGAGTAGTTGCAAGCCACATACTCCAGTCACCTTTGGCAGGAGACAGTGGCCACAGAAATACTCCTGCCCTGTGTTGTTTGTTCACAGCATTCAAAAGTATATTTCTTTTTTAAACAAGAGACATAGACCATAGTACAAAAAAAAGAGGGTTGATTGATTTGCATACCTCTGATGTGAAGATGAAACCTGCATGATTGCAGCATAGATGTTCTCATAGTAGAGAAATGGGCAGCTAAACCTTATGAAATCAACACACAGGTCCAGGCAAGGATCTGCACTATCAAATGGGAGTTACCAGGTTAAAAGGATTGTATGTAAAATCCAATGTTTAGTTTTAATAAAACTAAAACTAAAACTAAACTAAACAATGTAATACTTGTGGACGAGTTGCTTGAATAACTGTCTAACTCTTGAGATTCTACCACCCTTAGAAAAATAAACTTCATATTATAATCCCACTGTTTATATCTTGATAAGAGTGCTACATGGCAGTTTGTTTGTATTAAATGAGTAATCAAAGGAGAGGGAAAATCAAATCGCTAAAAAAGGTTGATAATAAATATAGTCAATTTGGGGCAGTAGTTAAGGAAAGAATTCTAAGGAACTAAAAGTTCTAAATCTGAAGCCAGCTGGATGACCATTGACCAGTGATTTATCTTAGTCCACTGAAGAAGGCAGTGATAAACTACTGTTTGAAAATCTTGCCCCAAAACAATAAGGACTTGTCCATATACACTGGACAAGAACCTGATTCAAAGGAAGTAATAAAAATAACAATAAATATAACAGGAGAACAATCCTGATGATTGGTGAGGGTGATTTTTTAAAACATGGCAAGGCCTGTTGATAGTCTAGCTGTGTTTATCTTTATTCTCCATGGAAAAACAAGCTCCTCCCCCCCCCCAATCTATTCTTTGAATATTCTGGCTTCAAGGCTAATTTTATCAAAAATGATTGGTAGGATGATTGAAGGCAATTTTTATTCACAGATGCTTTTCAAATGCATAAAACCTAATTAGTACTGTGAATTCAAATAATATTTTAACATAACATTAAAATAAACCACTCAACTGAGAGACAAGAAACCTGTATCATGTACAGATGAGGGTTACTACTTTGTAATGTCATGGTTGTGAATTAGATAAATGAAATTCCCAGAATTTTTGAAACTTATCAGGAAAAGTGTTGTTTTGTTTTCTGGGGGGAGTGAAATTTTGGAGGGAAAATTGAATTTAGTTTTAGTACCCTTTGTGAATATAGGGACGCAGTGGCTCAGTGGCTAAGATGCTGAACTTGTCAATCAGAAAGGTCAGCAGTTTGGCGGTTTGAATCCCTAGCGCCGCATAACAGAGTGAGCTCCCATTACTTGTCCCAGCTTCTGCCAACCTAGCAGTTCGAAAACACGTAAAAATGCAAATAGAAAAATAGGGACCACTTTTGTGGGAAGTGTGCCTTCGGCATTTTATTATGCAAGCCACATAACCACGGAGACATCTACGGACAGCGCTGGCTCTTCGTCTTTGAAACGGAGATGGGCACCGCCCCCTAGAGTCAGGAATGACTAGCACATATGTGTGAGGGGAACCTTTACCTTATAAATATACAGTCATTTGGTTACCTATGAAATGCATAACAGATGGTCTGGTTTGTTTATAAAAGTATGTTTGATGTACAGTGTAAAATTGAAAAATATGGTTTAGTCACCCAATAAATGTAAATTTATTTTTTGAATATAGTTTTAAAAGTTTTTAATACCTGTTACAACTGGCATTACAAAGTGGTATATTGTAAGAAATCTAGTACTGTATATCTTTTATGCCTTTGTAGGAAAAGGAAGCAAGTTCAGAGTACTGAAAACACAGGAAACCACCAATGTTGCAGAAAAAGAGAATTGTGTATTCTGGACATATATCAAAAGTATTTTGATACAGACCAAAAAAAACCTCATTTTGCCACATGAAATATTTTCTAACCAGCTTTCTTTTTCTGAACATGAGGTGGTAGACTTTCCAACAGTTTCTCGTTTTTCTGATCCTTTATTTTTAATATTACAGTAGACTTCTTAGAACTGTCTTGTCTTGATGCAGGCTCTTCTACTCTTTCACATGTTAAGTTAGTTAAACCCAGAAATAGTGCATCTTCAAAAAGACCTCCACAGAATAAAATAAAGAAAAACATTTGAAAATGTTTCATAATTTATTTTCTTTTTTCATTTGTGATGAGGAAGGCCTTGGGAGAAAATATATACAAATTTTCCCTCAGGCCTCTCTATGTCTCGCACATTTACCTCATTTTAATAATATGGAAGATTTTGCTAACTTTCATAATGTTACAATCCTGGGTTTTCCAGTAAAAATAAATGGAGAGAGATTTGGGGTAGTTTAAAAGTAGGGGTCTGGCTGAGGAGCTTTGGGAGTTGAAGTCCACAAGTCTTAAAGTTGCCATGGTTGGAGACCCTTGGTTTAAAGGACAACATTCCTACAAGCACACAATTAAATTACAGAATTTATGGTAAATGTGGATAGCTTTTGAAGGGAATTACTTAAACTCAAGGAAGATAAAAGTTATCAGTGGTTGCTATCCATGCTAACATAGTAGGTATGCTTTTTCTAGATCACCACTATAGCAGCATTCCTCATATCAATATTTCTGCTAATCCAATTCTTTGAAGAATCATTGTTGGAAATAGGATGTTGTAGTAAATAAGCCCTTGGCTTCATCAAGAAGATATTTCCAAGTTTCTAACATACATTTACCTTGTTCAATTCTTTCTTTCCAGACAATAGTGAAGTGCTTATTAGGGCTTCTTGCACTTGGAGTTATCATTACAGCCATAGTTGTTCCAGTAGTTTTGCTGACAAGAGAAGGTAAGTTTAATCATTACTTCCTATTTTAGTATTGTAAGCAATTTTTGAAACTCATTTTCTAAAGCCTTCTGCCAGAGCCTCTTTACCTAAAACAGAACAAAAAATAATAATATATGACGTTATATAAAACAGGGTTGTACAAACTTTGAAAATAAAATATTTTTTCCTGAAATCATTCAAATAATTCAGCATTTCCCTGCTACTTATTTAAGCAGCCTACTTTTTTTAGTTTCTGTGTAAATCTGAAAAGGGACAGCTGTTTCAATAAATCATTGTATGTAATGCTACTCCTTTAAAATTATTTATATAATTTTTTGCGATATATTTTTAAATAATATAAGAAATAGGTTGTAGAAATAAGAAAATCAGGTATGAACAGAGAAATGCAGGTGGATGAGGAACAAATCTGACACATAAAATTAAGACATTCTGAACATAATAAGAAACGAACACTATTATGAGATATTTCATATCCATTTTCTGGTCAAAATTCATGTATACCTGCTAAACATTATAGTTGGATTAAATTGTTTTTATAACCATAAAGCCAGGTGCAAAGTTTAATCTAAAAATTCTTGGTTAACACTATATTAATCATTGAAAGAAAACAATAAATATTAGATAATTCATTTTACCAATACAGTATTATAAATTATGCATTAAAATATGAGCTGTAAACCTCAAATATCTCATCGTAAACTCATTGAATAAGATTGCAGTCCAAGAATAGATTCCAATTAAAATTAAATTCTCATTGGATTTGCTTTTTCAATACAAAATTATTCTGGACATTGAAGGCATAGTACCACAATTTAATTAATCATTTTTATGAAAAGCTTTTTTCAATAAAAGGCATATAAAATCTAAGCAGCTGTGCTTATATTAATAGTTTAGATTTAAACAAACTCTTTGGGTCCATGAGTCAGTTTTTTCAAAAAAATTATTAAAGATTATACTTGCAATAGTAAAAATAATTTAAATTGAAAGACAGAAAGAGAAAGAGAATAAAAATGCAAAGGAAAAAAGACATAGAAGAAGGTAGAAAGTAAAGAAAGTAAATATAAATTATAAATATAAAAATATAAATATAAATATATCATAAAGAATTTCAGTTGGAGAGATCCAGGAGAACAGCCTTTTCTGCTGTGGCCCCCATCCTTTGGAACACCTTTATCAGAGGTGAGATATACTTCCACCCTTCTGGCCTTTCAGAAGGGCCTTAAAACTGCATTTAATTAAAATCTTTAGTCCCCTCTAGCATCCAATTTTTAAAATTGCTTATCTCCATTATATCTTAGAAAAAATTCATATCAAGTTCACTTTCCCACGGAAAAATTTATGATTATTTCCCAAATTTTATTCCAATTTAATCCATTTATAACTTTCTAAAATCCAAATTTTAATTTGCTTTTTGCTGCATTTTTTTTAAATAGAAAAATGATTTATGAAGCTTGCAGTTAATTTTTTTTTGTTAAGGATTGAAGGCAGACTCACTAGTGTTTTCAGATTTCTCTATTCAAAGATCTCTAATAGCTGAAAAATAGCTTATACAAAATTTCCAACAGTGATTAGAAAAACGAGTAGATTAGAAAAGAATTTAGCATGTTTTTAAAGGCACTGAACAAGATAGTTATTCCTTCAACTCCCAGAAATACTATGTCTGCTGGAAGCCACTGTTTTACAGTCTCCTGGTGATAAACAACTGTCTGGAGCACTTGTGGGCAATCTCACATCCTCTCTTTGTCTAGAAAGATTCAAAAAATTGATCTATTCACTGGCTGTTTTTTCTTTGCCACATTTGTCACCTTCATTTCAGTCTTCCATTTCCTTCTCCAGGAGTCCCACATTGGCTCCTAGCAAACTACCTCAACTAGTCTCTGAAGTTTTTTTGGCAGGGTTTTTCGGTAGTGGTTTGTCATTGTCTGCTTCTTCCTAGGGCTGAGAGAAAGTGAATAGCCAAAGTCACCCAACTGTCTTTTGTGTCTGAGGCAGAACTATAACTCTCAATCTCTTGGGTTCTAGCCTTAACCACTATCCCAAGTTGACTTTTGGATAATTACATTACATTTAATATAGTTATACATTAAGATGCTCTATATCAGGGGTATCAAACTCCAGGTCCGGGGGCCTGATCTGGCCACAGGATGCTTAGATCTCGCCCGTGGGGCCACCTTGGAAACAATGAAGGACTGTCCCATGGTGCTTCTGCCAGCAAAAATGGAGTTTTTGGCCCTCCCAAGCTCTGTTTTTACTGGCAGAGAGTTGCAGGAGTCCGTCGCAGGTGAAAACAGAGCTCGGGAGCCCATTTTTGCTGGCAGAGCACTCGGGCCACCACAGGTGCTCCCAACACGAGTGACATTGAGCTGGCCATGCCCCAGCCCCCAAGGTTAAACGCAACCCTGATGCGGCCCTCAATGAATTTGGTTTGACACCTCTGCTCAGTTGTTCAGAAATTTTGCTCTGAGCATATAGGATTTGGAAAGCCAGATTGGTCTAATGGGTTAACTCACTTCAAGGTTTATTGTTGGGGAAAATAGGAGAAAGGTATTAAATATTTTTACTGACTTTAGTTATTTGTAAAAATAATAAAGGTGGGATTCAGTTGAATAAATTATGTTAAGAATGAATCCACTTGTAGCATAAATTTGGTCTCATTTTTGTTATATCACATGAAATTGGTTATTCATTACTGTATGCTTTAGCTTAAATCAGTTCAGTAGCTATTTAGTAGAATTTGTATAACATTACACCTATTAAATATGAAATCCTGAATGAATTTGGGGTCAATGAACACTCACAGTTCCTGTGTGTTTTAGAATTTATTATCTTTGTGAGTTTTAGAATTTATCCTTCATGAGAATGTGTGGATCTGCAAAGGAATCAGTGAAACAATTACAACTGTTGTCAGTGAAACAGTTTCTTCTTACAGAATGGAGCCTTCTTTTTTGTGTTTTATATATGAAACTGTAACAAAAACTTGCCCTATAGAAAAAAGAGGAAGTTTTCTCTATATAGAAAAATAACCCTTTCACCAGGAACAGTTACACTGCCTTATTTCAATGTTTGAACAATGACTTAATTCTTCTTATAGTGGATGAATATTTCTACATAAAGTGTAAAGTAAAATAACACTCAAAATTATGCTGTGGGCGTGATCTAAATATACAGTTTACTGATGCATGTCCAGTTAATGGTTTCAGAATTCTGTGATTTCAGGAATGTTGTCATTCTCTTACACTTCACACACTTCACACTTAGACTTATATACCATTCCACAGTGTTTTACAGCCCTCTTTAAACTGTTTATAGAGTCAACACTCTAACCCTTAACAATCTGGGTCTTCATTTTACCAACCTCGGAAGGATGGAAGGCTGAGTTAACCTTGAGCCAGTGAGAATCGAACTGCCAAACTGCAGTCAGCTGGCAGTCAGTAGAAGTAGCCTACAGTACTGCATTCTAAAAACTGTGCCACCATAGCTTTTAATGATAGTTTGTTCATGTGGGCATCAAGTTTAAATTACATTCTTTCTGGAAAATTCAGAGCGCCTTATTAAAAAGAAAGGAATCCAGTATACCACTAACTAAATTCCAGAAATCATTCTTTTAAAGACAAAGCAAATTGTGTTAATGAAAAGGTTATATTCAAAAATAGAAATATGCTAAATTGTAGTCTTTTAAAGAAAAATAGTAAATGCAGATATTTTTAGGAAATTGCAGGAAATTTAGTGAACTTATTTTTTTAATATAATTCTATAATCTTATATATTGGCTGCAACTTTAAGTATGCAGCAAACTGCATTTCTAAAAGATAAAATTTGTTATCAAGATTTTTAAGTCTGTCAAGTGTGCAACACAGCAAAGAGTTGCACACTTGAAGAGTTGGAAAGAAACTCCATTTCAAAGAGGATAATTTTATGTATCTGGAAGAAACTCAATATCCTAATTCAAGGAATAGAGCTAAGGTACAAGTTTGTTATTTATCTTTGAAAAGTCTTTGTATTCTACAGATGAAAAAAAATGTTGTGATATTTGATGTATTGTCTAGAATACTATACCACACTCTGTGAGTATTATATGGATATATTTTTTTGGTCACATTTAGAGAATGACCAAAGAACCACACTACATTTGGTATAGTGGTTAAGGTGCTGTCCTTGCAATCTGGAAAGTGTGAGTTGTAGTCCTGCATTAGCCATGAAAGCTATCTGAGTAACTTTGGATCAGTTGGTCTCTCAGCACAACCCACCTCACAAGGTGGTTGTGTAGAGAAAAATAAGAGGTGGGAATACCATAGGTATGTTCACCGCATTGAGTTGGCCAGAATATATTTTTAAAGGCAGGTTAAAATTCTAATACATTTATTTTAATTATTGTAATATATTTAGTGTTTGTTCTAGTGGTGGTTTTCCATTTTTTTTACTACCGGTTCAGTCGCGCGTGCACGCGACACTTCTGCACATGCACAGAAGTGTCCAGGTGGGTGGGTGGAGCCTCCCACCGCCACCACTACCAGTTTGCCCGATCTGGCCTGAACCAGCAGAAACCCACCTCTGGTTTGTTCCACTATGTAATTATTATTTATCTTTTTTTCCTCTATTGATAGAGTAAGCCTTTACTTATTTATTTAACTTTTGAAATTAATTTAAATATTAAGCAAATAAATAAGAAAACAAATCATTTTAATTAATTTTCAAAGCACTTTGGGACAAATATGTAGAAAATAATTAATTTTAAGTCCAATCTGGAGAAAATTCTGTAAGATTGTTGTAACAAGGGTTTTGTCTGTATTTTAAAATAAGTTTTAATATGTTTTTAATGTTTGTCTGTATGAATGCTGTATAACTACAGCATTCTGTGGTTGGTAATCAATGATCTGCCAGTAACAAAAACTGCCCTGAACACTTAGCTCTGTTATCAGAAAGGACTTTAATATTTTAAGTTGGAGATTATAACTGCACCCTTTATCTCTATCTTGAATTAATGTTCACAGAATATAAAT